CAGCCCCTAGAATGCTCTTCCCTGCCTCCTAAGTCCTAAGAACTCATGCTCCTTCTGGACCTAAGGGCAATCCTTCACAAGTAAAATCTTTGTGAGCCACTGAGCAGAGAGCCCCAAGAGGGCGGGGTCAGGCCATTCTCACTTATCACGGTGTCCCCAGCACTGTCCAGCATAAGGCAGGCCACTGGAGAAATTAATTGCATGAATAAAAAGTGTTGGTAATAAAATACAATGACATTTCCCAAATTATAATAGCAAATGTTTATTGTATGCCACATGCCGGGTGTGATTCAGAGAGTCATCTCCTATGGGTCCCGCTACAACCCTACAAGGGAGGCGCTTTCATTATTTTCATTATCACCATCCGCCGTTGGAGATGAAGAAACCGAGACTCAGCGAATACCTGAGCTCACCTTGCTTGTAGTCAGAGCTGTCTCTTGAAGCCAGTCGCCTGGCCCTGAAGGTGTTCAGTTCCCAAGATATGGTCTCTAGGCCCCATAGAACCCAAACTAAGGAGTGATTCTCAAAGCGCAGTCCACAGAACCCCTGGGGGGTTCCCCAGACCTTTTTCAAGAAGTCCCCAAGGTCAAAATGATTATCATAATACTATTAAGCCACTTACCTGCCTTTTTCTCTCTCTTTCTCTCCAGAGTGTACAGTGCAGCCTGCACAATATCACAACAGCAGCAGATATGAAGACCCGGCTGTCTTCTGTTGAGCCAGACATTAAAGTGATTTGCAAAAATTTAAAACAGTGCCCTCTTCTCACTAAACTTTTTTTGGTTTTGGAAAATATGGTTATTTTTAACTAAAACAATATGATTTATGTTAACATGCAATTGCTTCTATTATTTTTAAGTGAATCAATAAATATTTCTTAAATTTCTAGCTTTTCATTTCTAATACAGTGAATATTGATAGGTATAACCCACACCAACTACAACTCTTCGGGGTCCTCAACAATTTCTAAGAGCATAAGGGGGCCTGTGGCCAAAGAGTTTAAGAATCTCTGAACTAATATTCATATAAACCTGATAAGTGCCAGGAAGGACAAGAATGTGGGGACATCATTGTGGGAGGGCAGGGAGGTTTCTCTGTCAAAGGAGCATTTAAGAAGAGACTGAAAGGATGTTGGAGTCTGCGAGGTGAAGGGACGGAGAGCTTTCAACGAGGCGGGAACAGCTTGTGCAAAGTCCCTGTGGTGGGAAATTGCTCTGTGAGTTTCAGAAACACAAAACAGGCCGGTGTAGCTGGAGCAGAGAGAGCGAGGGAAAGAGGGGCAAGAAATGAGGCTGGGCCATCAAGAGATCAGATCAAGTAAGGCCTTGAAGGCCATGGTAAGTATGTTGGATTTTATTCTGAGTGGAAAATGGACCTTCGGGGGACAAGGATGCAAGCAAGAAGCCCAGTGAGGAAGAGCCTGCAGTTGTCCAGGGAAGACTGGATGAGCCTAGACTGGGGTGCTGGGGAGTCAAGAGGAAGTCTTAGGTTTGAGGGACTGGCAGTTACAAGAACCAGAAGGGCAGACTGGGGCAGGGGGTTGAGAACTCTGCCTGAGCCCCTTAGGATTGGCGAAATCTTTGAGACACCCCAGTGGGAATGTCAAGTAGGCTGGAGGGAGCTCTGGGCTCAAGACTGAAATCTGAGCGTCACGGGTGTACGTGTGTATATGTCTAGTTTATTAACTCATCTTATTTCTATTATAATTTCTAGCTGATCAATGCTATTAAATATTGTTGGTTGACCTTCTAACAGGCAATCTGGCCAAATTCTCAAATTAAAATAGCTTGTTGATTCTTAGTTTTGCCTTGAAAATGATCCAAATGGCGGTTTTATCTCTTGCCTTCTGATCTTCACCTCTCATTTATTTTTCTTGTCTTATAGCATGTGCAGAGACTTCCGGGACTAGGTCAAACGGTAAAGTTGATCAACGCTTATATACTTCACATCACGACCTTCTGAGATGACTTATCCTGTTGTCCCCATTTTATAGAGGGAAAAACTGAGGCACAGAGAGGTTAGTCTCTTGCCCAAGGCCACGCAGCAAGTAAGCAACGATATCAGGACTCCAACCGAAGCTTCTGTCCTCTACCACTGCCTTCAAAGAAAACTCAATGAGCATTCTATATTTTTTCAACAGGCAAAATACTCTGCAAGTTTCCACGGCGACCCCTGGAGCTGGATGAGGAGCTGGGGGCCTGAGGTCTCATGCTGGCCCCGCCCTCTTTCCCAGCCTCAGTTTCCTCCTGTGAGGGAGGGTTGGAAGAGATGGCGTGTGAAAGCCACAGAAACTCTGCCTCCGGGGTGGAGGAGGCAGGCCCCCAAACAGATTGTATTCATTTCCTGTGGCTGCTGTAACAGATTACTACAAACTTGGTAATTTAAAACAACAGAAATGTACTCTCTGGAAACCGGAAGACCTAAATCAAAGTGTCAGCAGAGCCACACTCCCTTAGAAGGTTCTAGGGGAGGATCCTTCCCTGCTTCTTCCAGCCTCTGGTGGCCCCAGGCGCTCTTTGGCTGGTGGCTTCATCGCTCCAGTCTCTGCCTCTATCCTCACAGGCCTTCTTTTCCACTATCTGTGCGCAGTCGCTCTCTGCCTTTCTCTCATAAGGACGCTTGCTGCCGGGTTTAGGGCCTGCTCCGATAATCCAGGATGATCTCACCTCGAGATCCTTACCTGAATGACATCTGCAAAGACCCTTTTTCCAAAGAAGCTCACATTCGCAGGTCTCAGGTGGACATATCTCGGGCAGGGGGTACACACCATTCAAGTCACCACACAGATCCAAACAGAAAAATGAGGGCCAGAAAATATGCAGCAGAGTTGAGACTGGGAGCTTTCTAAAGCTTTGTGATCGCACAGGCCTGTTCCAGCAGAGACTGTGGGCACACTCGCCCTTGAGAACCTAGAGTGGTCCATACGTCCCACATGTGCTGTTAGAAGGTATGTGTGCCCACCACATCCTGGGCATCTCAGCTTTGAGGATGGGAATTCTTTTTTTTTTTTTTTTTTTTGGCTGAGGAAGATTCGCCCTGAGCTAACATCCGTGCGCATCTTCCTCTATTTTGTATGTGGGTCGCCGCCACAGCATGGCTTGATGAGCGGTGTAGGTCTGCGCCAGGGATCGGAACCTGGGCCGCCAAAGTAGAGCGTGCCGAACTTAACCACTATGCCACAAGCCACCCTGAGGATGGGAAGTCTTGAAGGGAGTTTTTCATTCTTCAGCTGTTAATGTGGAGTCGAGAAATTTTCTCTTCCCCAAACCTCCAAACAATAATAAAAGCCAACCCTCATACCGCACTGAATATGTGCCAGGCCCTGTTCTAAGTGTTTAATATTTATTAATTCATTTGATCCTCACAAAATCCCTCTGAGGTCTTGTTAGTGATCCCCCTTTTATAGAGGAATAAACCGAGGGGCAGAGAGGTTGGAGTTGCAGCTTGGAAGTTCCAGAACTAATATTTGAACCCCGCAGTCTGGCTTCAGAGTCTGGGGTCTTGACCATCAGCCTTGTCAGGCACATTGTCACATGTTAAGTCTGGATTTTAGGAAGCCACCCTCCCAGAGCTGTGATGGCACCATCATCTACCTCTGCGCTGTCGGATATGGCAGCCACTTTGCCGCATGTGAATCTTGAGCGCTTGAAACGTGGCTGATCCAAAATGAGATGTGCATGAGGCTAAAATCCACACCAGATATCGAAGACTTAGTGCGATAAAAAGAACGTAAAATATCTCATTAATAATTGCTGATATGGGGGCCGGCCCCGTGGCTTAGAGGTTAAGTGCGCGCGCTCTGCTGCTGGCGGCCCGGGTTTGGATCCCGGGCGCGCACTGACGCACCGCTTCTCCG